AAGAAGATGGAAGAAGATCAGAGGGCTCGTCAAAAATGCAAGTTGGAAACTATGAGTTGTTGCATGAGCGTCTAAAGCGAACCCTTGAAAGAATGATCAAGTAGAAGTAGATCGAGCTTACCATTCTGAAGCCAAGTGAAGATTGATTCAACATTTACGCATTCATGAAAACATCATAAATTCATAAAAGAAAATGTATTACACTGATACATTTAATTGCATTAGTGTTTCATGCATAAACACATGATTTTGACAGATTTTCCAATGAAAAGAGAAGATGCAGGATGTTAAAATCTCGACGATTGAAAGGGAGAATTCAAACTTTCAACGCAGGGAATCATGTTTAGAGTGGCAGAACCTGAAGAACAGAGAGGTCTAATCCACAGAAGAAACATTACTCTGAAGTGATGACCATCAGATATAGAAGAAAAACAAGGATGTTCGTGTATGAAGAGAGGAATCACTCGATTAAAGTGACTTGTACACAGGAGATTGGGGCAAAGTCAAGCCTTCACGGAAGAGTAGTGAAGCAAATCCATTTGTAAAACTTCACCGAAGAGTAGTGAAGCACCATCTTAAGCCTTCACGGAAGAGTAGTGAAGCAAATCCATCTGTAAGCCTTTAGAGCAAGATGATAAGTCCTTCGGGCCATCCATAAAACCTTCGGGTAGGATGTTTTTACATGAATTTGAAAATGAAAATTATGCTTTAAGAAGATGAAATTTTTGAAAACGAAGAATGCGATTTTCAAAATTTCATAATTTATAAGTCCGTCGGGCTATCAGTAAGTCTTTCGAGCTTGATGTTTAAATCCTTCGGGTCATCTGTAAGCCTTTAGAGCAAGATGATAAGTCCTTCGGGCCATCTGTAAAACCTTCGGGTAGGATGTTTTCACATGAATTTGAAAATGAAAAAACGATGTTTTGAGAAGATGAAACTTTTGAAAACAAAAAATGCGATTTTCAAAATTTCACAATTTATAAGTCCTTCGGGCCATCAGTAAGTCTTTCGAGCATGATGATTAAATCCTTCGGGTAACTGGTAAGCCTTCACGGAAGAGTAGTGAAGCAAATTCATCAGTAAGTCTTTCGAGCATGATAATTAAATCCTTTGGGTAATTTTTAAGCCTTCACCGAAGAGTAGTGAAGCAAACCCATCAGTAAGTCTTTCGAGCATGATAATTAAATCCTTCGGGTAATTTTTAAGCCTTCACGGAAGAGCAGTGAAGCAAATCCGTCAGTAAGTCTTTCGAGCATGATGATGAAATCCTTCGGGTCATCCATAAGACCTTCGGGTAGGATATTTTCACACCAAGATGATAAGTCCTTCGAGCCATCACCTTCTCGGAATAGTGTTGGAGCAAGCCATCAAATCATCAGATCTGGGAGGAAATCGAACTTTCTCGAGTATAAAGACGCAAATCAATTGATTAAAAGGAAATGAGCACGAAGAGTCATTAATCAATTCAAGGTCCTAGGAAGAGAGAGGTTCGGATGGCAGCCGAGTCCAAGAAGATTCTCATATCTAGTTGTTGCGAGACAAGCTCCCTCAAGAGAAATGGATTCTCAAAGATTCTCTTAAATTCTAAATTTTTTCGAGTATAATGTTTTTCAAATCTTCAAGCATACAGTAATAAGTGGAAATGTTTTATTTTCAGGTTTAACCTTCGAAGTTGAGCCTTCATGGAAGAATAGTGAAGCAGAATTACACCAGAAAATTGTTCGAGTTCTACTCCCTGAAGCAAGAGGGAGCGAACCTGTAGGCAGACGATTGTTCGAGTTGTACTCCCTGAAGCAAGAGGGAGCGAACCCATTTTTAGAAGATTGTTCGAGTTCCTTAATCCCTGAGAAATAGGGAGTGGACCCGTTATTTGAAGATTTTTCAAGTCTCATTTATCCCGACGTAACAATGAGTGGTTTAATCTTTTGAAGTTTTCATGACCGGACAAATTCGATCATCTTTTAATCTTTGTTCTATTCTCGTTATACGACAATGAGCAAAGAGGGGCAGCTGTAGATGCTCGATTTGTCCGGGGGCCAAGTCAGAGCAAGCCCGAACCAATGGATTGGTTGGTTGGAGCTGTCTAACCATGCAACTGCTTTGGTGTACTGCAATCAGAGAAAAAAGGATTTTCAGCCATGTATGATAACTGGTCAGTTATCAACAGTTAACTAAAACAATTGAGGGAGCAGTTTGTAGAGAGTGGGGGTTTTTAATTTTGATTTAACCACCAGAAACAGAAAAAAAGAGGGGGAGAGAGGAATTACCAGAGAAACAATAAGGCATACTGAAAATCTGCTCTCGAACATTAAAAAAAAAACAAAGGCAAATTGTAAGGGGTTCTTGCCCATTTTTTGAAACAGCGAAAAACCTTTCATTTGTTTTTATACAACAAAGCAACAAGAGGAAAACAGTCTGTAGAGGAGAGGCTTCTGCTACCCTATTTGAAACGAAAAAACAGGCAATACAAAGTAGCAGAACAAAACATTAGAAAGGTATTCTATTTCTTTTTCAATAACTTTTGTTCTATTATTATTTAAATGGGGTACTCGAACCAAACCAGAAAATAGATGGGGATGGGAGTGGGGACATGAGTAGATGATATGATATCTTTGTACAAAAAGGAAACACTAGTCTTGCTAGACCATATACGTTAACGTCGCCTATTTCCTTCCATACACTTGGAACCCAAACGGATAATAAGGATCAAATCAAGGCCCTTCAAATTTGGCACCTTAGGTTCTGTGAATGCAATATGTTGAAACTTACTGCAAATTGCAGAACACGGCTAGCATTCTTGTAATGGAAATTATCTTATGATTATGAATTTTCCATAAATGCAAACACCAGACAGTTGTTCCATACAATATTAGCATTCAAACATGCTGAAATGGATGCAATATTAGATTTATATCATATATATTTTTACGCATATCAGCATGGAAACTTACTTCATAAGGTGATTAAATTCGGCCACACATGGTCTGAACCTCTTCCATTACCGTCAATGCTCCATAATCATGGACATTTCCAGTCTATTATCATCATGGTTGTAACGTGTAAAAATGAGATAGAATTGTAGCCAATGAAAACTTTCCGAATCAATGTTATCTCCGTCGAAGTTAAAGTCATCGGCTCGAACGATTGGAAGGTTCTGTCCCAAATAGCGGTTATCTCCTTTAAGTTTTCTAGAGAAGAGGGAATTGAAAATGCAAGAAAGGGAGAGGTGAGAAAGCCAATTGCGGCTGAGTTGTTTAGTTTAGAGTTAGGTTAGGTTTAGGTTTTAGTTAGATTACATATTAAAGTTTTGGGTTAATTATTTATTTGGTCACTAACGCTTTAGGTGTAAACTATCTCTAGATCCTCCTAAGTTTAACGTTTTTTTTATAATTTAGTCACATGCAGGGCTTGATTTTTGAATTTTTTTTATTTGTCTCGATTTAGTTATTTTCCAATTTTTATTTTAGTTACTATTTTGAGTTATTTAGGTTTAAGTTCCTTGTTCGTTTTTATTTAAGTCTTCGTTTTAATTTTTAGTCAGCATGTTTAATTTTACTTATGTTTAAATTTTTAGTTACTACTTTTGTTAATATGGATATATATATATATATATATATATATATATATATATATATATATATATTAAATTTATAGTTTAGTATGCCATGTTTATTTTTTATATTTGAGTCACATTTGTACATTATAGGTTAATATGCATGGTTATAGTTTTTAATTTTAAATATATGTATATAATTTTTATATTAGAACGTCACATTGTGTGATATATATTTTTAAAATCATAATACTTGTTTAATTAATTTGTCTATGATATACTTTTTGCACAATTTGTATGATATCCTCATTCACATAACTCGACTTATAAATACATAATTGGATTAAAGGTAATACCCTTTTAATTTAAAATTGTCTTGAGTGACCTGTCTTAACTAATTAGAGGGTCGTTTTGAGATTTTAAATTAAAAGTGTATCCCAAAAGTGAAACAAAAAAAATTGATTCGTCACTTTAAAATTTGGGAATGGAAAGAAAAGAAATATTCGATTATTTAAATTTATCGAGAAAAGGTAGTTATAACTGATTTAAGATCTGGTCTCGATATATTTAAATAATCGAATATTCTTTATCTTTCTAATGGTTGGGTAATTTTAATCTAATTTGTTTTGGTGTTTACAAATGATGTAAATATGTATATTATTGTTTTGTCGGGGATCATAAATCAAATTAAATTCGAATTTGTAAAGTTCATTGCAAAGACGTTAATTAATCGACTAGGTACCGTTTTAGGGCGTTGTGGGGGTGCTAATCCTTCCCTGCACGTAACCGACTCCCGAACTCGGATTTTGGTAACGCATACCTTAATTTGTTGTTTTAATAAAAATTAATTTTTATTTAAAATAACAAACAATTTTGGGTGCCCAATCACACCCTAATCAAAGATTGGTGGCGACTCTTTGAACTGTATTTTTTTTTCTATCGTAAATGAAATCCAAAATTTTTCGAAACGAGAGATTTTTAAATCGCATTTGTTTTTAAATAAAAAATCAGTTGAAAGAGGTAAATTAAAAATTAATGTGGTTTTTAAAATCTCACCTTTTCACCTTTCAAGAAAAATCGTTTCGACAATTATAATGTGATATTCTTTGCTTTGCAATGCATTTTGGGACCAAACAGGTACTTAATAACTGCTACTATGATGTTCCATGTCCATGCATCGGTGTTAATTGTCTCATCAACTTCGCATCTGTACGGACCATTATATATAAATTTAAGCCAAAATTATATTTTATTTTAAACAAAGTTAAATATTAAAAAGGAAGAAATCTGAGTCACTTTAAGAGTAAAAAAGAATATTATTTTTTCTAAAAGGTTTAGGTCCAAGCTATTGTGCATATATAATGTATGTATATTATCAATAAATTTAAAAAAAATTATGAAAAAATATTATATTGTAATTATCTAAACTTAAACAAAATCGGCATTTGATACAGAGATTCGGATTAGAAGACTGTAAAATCACAAACTACCATCTCAAATTTGAACAGTAACAGTAAAATTTAATAAGATTACAGGATGAAATGGATACAAATTTCAAAACCAGCCCCCCGCATACGAAGAGGGTTGATAGAATCAAGAATAAATTTGATTGAATGGAGACTAAAAAATGAGGACGCAAAACCCTAAACCACTAAAACCAATCAAATAAGAAAATATCACCAACAACAATCACCTACCGAATCCGTGCTGCTTCCACCAGCGGATCTCAAAATGAGGAGCCGAAATGGTCACGATAAATGACAACCGCTCCCCCTGTCGAATCTAGACCTCGTATTTCTTCGGTTGATGCCACTGACATAAGCTTCTGGCCAATGAGCTTAGGAATGAGGCTTTTGGAGGAGCTCCCTTTTTACCATATAAATGCTTGCCTCCCAAGTCTGTGAACTTTGGGCCGCTATCTTTTTTCCTTTCAATCTGCACATCAGCAGAATATTGCTGAGGTCGACCCGAATATGAAGCTTATCTTAAGTGACATGTTCAACCGACTTACCTTGCTTATTTTTCCATCCTTCAAGTGATATCGGATACCCGACCAATTGATAGATTGAGAGAAATGGGATCGGAATGCGGAGATAGGGTATAGAAAGTTATCAACCAGCATCGCAACAAATATCTGGCTCAATCAGAAAACACATAAAACCTAAATTTTCTTTTAACAGAAGCCTTGAGTACACACCACTTAACTACAGTCTGGTGAAGAATATTTCAGGATTTTAAATTTTCAGAATCGGCATTGAAACAGATAAAAAGACCAGACATTTTCGTCGTCGGTCTAAACATGCAGGCACTTACCATGCTCCAGTTGTAATAATCAAGCGAGAGCTTAGGTGCCTCCGGGGATAACATGTTGCATAGTTGAACTTCAATCCTTGTTAAGTTCCACATGGAAAGTAGCTCCGTAAAGGTACATATAGCTAGGCAACTTGTCAGTAACAATCCTGTGGAAAATCAGTTTGTTTAGTTGCAGTGGCTATTACAAACTTTAATGTCATAGTGTACTTCTCTACCCTCCATTTTATTAGATTGAATACTTTAACAGAGAAACTGAACCAAAAGGTGCTTCTGAAATGTGACAAGAACTACTGCCAGCATTTCTAGTTGTGGAGGGCGAACAATTATGCATCCCTAAATAGTAGCCTAAATTACTAGAAATCCGATATGTTGAGGGCCAAGAGGAACTTGTAGATTATCGGTATAACTTTGTACTGTCTCGGCCAAAGACAAAAAAAACTCTTGTTACTCAAATGCATCTCAAATGGACTAGCATACAACAACACCAGACATCGGTTTGCCTAACCTAGCTGGAATTGAAAAATAGTGTGCTCACCTGTAGTAGTACAAGTTGTTTCCCCATATGAATAACCCTTGATATGGATTTCTAGTGCTGCTGCAACATGAATTGCAGCCATCAAGTATGGCGCGACAAATCCCCATGACACATAGCTATGGAATGAAAATAGTCCTCTGTTCATTAGCCAATTAACCCTGCTTATGTATGATTCCAAAACAAATGTTTGCTTCCTCAAGTAATTCCAGTACCTGGAAAGAAGTCAAAGTCAACAAGGATATAAATATAATAGAAAAGCTTAATGGGTAAAAATCACAAACCTAGAGAAACTAAGGTCACTTGCAAGAGGATGAGGAAAAACAGCTACAGGAGGAGAGGTAATAAGCCTCTTGTTGGCTCCTGAGAAGAGACAATCAGTAAAAACGCTGCAAGTCTTTCGAGTATACAAAGCTGTAATTATAAATATCAACAGAAATATTACTATGCTAAAACATTTAATTGAGACTAGATTACCAGATATAGCAGCTAGTGTCATATCATCAGAGTATCCACCGTCTCGAAGTCCTGAGACCACACCATAGTTGTCCTGTCTAAAATCATCAGCGTGCATCTGAAAAACAATCTAGAAGAATCAGAAATAATCCTTAAATTTTGTACAGGATCCACAGAGTGCAGTAGGGTGAGCTACTTACCATCATACACCCTCCCCAAAGAAAAAATGTTTTCCCACCAGTAGCAAATCCCATTGAGCAAGGCTATAGAAAAGGAGTAAATGAATTAAAGGAGACAACAACTAAGCTATGGGAGAGAGATTAAAGCAAAAGAAGTAATATCAACCACTTGAGAACAGTTAAATAAGCAAAAGCTTTCACCTATTCAACACCTCTTGGCCAAATTCAAATAATAGAAACAGATTTGACAATTCCACTTATGCTCCAAATTGACAACCTATAGTGCTCTATTGTTGTTTAAACTTTGGGCTATGGTATAAGTTCACACATGAGAAATGATTATTTCCCACCATGTTGCTGCCTTATTTCAATAAGATGTGCTTGCCTGTTGATGCGTATATGTGTGTGTATTTAATCTTTATGGAGGGATGCAGAGTTGTTGAGCTAGCATATGCATCTATAGAAATAGAAAGTGCAGCTTATCTACAGGTTTTCTGGTAGATTGTGCGGTAGGAATAAATGAAACAATAAGCCCTATACAAATGAGTTTATGAAATAACTGGACAATTGACTTAGGTAGTGATCACTAATGCCTTGGTTTCTGGTTGTACTGTTGTTTTGATGGTAGGTTTTCACTGCTCACTTGTATAATTACAAAGTTATCCAAACATATATAATAATATGTGGTCATCAGGTATATGCAGTATCTTGGGAAGAAAAAAGAAGTCACATATGGCATCATACCATATGGTATTCATAGATGCAGTAACTCCCTAAACTTCCGGACGGTAAATCAAGAGGGTATCCAGTTTGAATAAATATCTGTACATCATTGCAAATAACATGAGTGCCACAAAAAGAAATTAACAGTTCAGAAGAAAAAAAAACTATTTATTGTAATTTAATGTATATTGATGTGCACAAACATACCTCGGGCCTCTTTTCCATCTCAGCAGTGAGGGCTCCAATTGATCCTGGGTGGAGCCTAACATCATCATCCAAAAATAATACATACTTGGTATCTTTATGCATTTTTTCCACCCCAACCTTCACAAGAAATACCAAATGATATCTTGAATACACTTCTAGTCGATAGATATTACAATATACAAGGACCAACTTTAAAAAAATGGATTAGCAAAAGAGGACATTTTCAGCTAAGGGCTAAGGCTTTAACTTAATTCTTCACTGAGTACAAGTGAGATTGATGTATAGTTTAAACATAATATAAATACAAAAGTTTTAAGGCGAGATCCATTGCAAAAATTTTTAACAATTTGGTAAAGTCTTTACATACCAGCTGATTATGTATTTTCTGACTACATGTTGTTGACAAACCAGCCACAATAACTTTAGCATCAACATCATCCTGAACAGAAACACGTGCAATGAAATCATGAAGACAAGAAGTAAAGCCACAGTGACAACACTCAAATGATGCCCTCTAACACTAGCATGAAGCAAGCATTGAGTTTTGAAGGTTTTTAGTGAAGGGGGAATAAAGATTATACATAGATAACAATCTTATTTGACATTTTTGTTAATATTATAAAAAAAATGAATAATAAAGCAAAATTGTGGTATACCTTAAAATCTCTTAATAACCGAGATACAGCATGGTAAGCAGGATCTTCAGTACTTTCAACCACAAAAAGGAACTCTAGAGGACCGCCATAGAGAGATGTGATCTGCCTCCATTGACATTAAGCAAACATGTAGAAATTGCTCATTGCAAAAGATGGAAATTTTAAAATAACCAAATTTGGCAGAGCAATATGCAAAATTATATAAATAAAAGAGGGAAATTTAGTTCAGTGTTCCATTCACTAGTGAACAAGGAATAGGTACATGAACACTTCTTTAGCATGCATCGAGAAGACAACTATCTAGACCGTAAAATACTCACCTGGCTCTTCCAATTGTGTAGATTATGTTCTCCAAAACCTTTTAAAGGCATCACAACTGTAACTCTTGGTAGATTGACCTGATTCGAGTGCTCGAGTTCACAAATATCATGGCACAAAAAACCAAAGCTATTACCACCTATCATGGCATCATTCATTCTATTGATCTCTCTGTTCCTGTTAAGGGCAAAAAATATATGTATATATAAATGAAATAGGCAAGTTTCTAGGTCATAGTACAACATAAAATAGTCACGGCAGCAAGTAGGCTGCCTTTTAAATCATCTTAGAACCATGTACCTGACATAAGCAGCAAAAGCCCACCCAATTGCAAGAGTCAAGCATATTATACATCCCTACATCATATACAAAGCATTTGGATCGGTACCCTTTTTGAAGTTTAATAGGCAGATAAAGAGGATTTAAAACAATCGAAGTGAATATACTGTATTCATAAAGTAGATAATCGGAACGATTGTGAAAAGATAAAAGGAAGGAACCAGTCAAAAGAAGAAGAATATATCAGCTAGCAAAAGTTGTAATCGGTAATTAATAAAAGTAAGGATGTTTCAATAGCTTCTCATTTTGATAAACTGAGTAAAAGCTCACTATGCCTACCATCCAATTAGACAGCCCTTTTTACATTAACTGAAATGTTATCCTTCCCTCAAACAACTTAAACAAATCAGTAAACTAAAACAAACTCCCGTGATGTATAAAAAACATATTTAGGAAAAACAGCTTCGATATGCATTTGATTCAAATGCTATAAGCCTATAGCAAAAAAGCTCATCTCAGAACTAAATAAAACCCTTTACTGTCCCAAAATCTACAAATTACATAATCGGTGATAATCAAGGAATTCACATTACAAGATACATTGCTATCTATCTTATTAACAGCAACCACTCAAACCAAATTCCAAACATTTCATTTCAATTATGTCACAGATACTAGTCTTTTTTTCTTTCTTTCTGTTTATGTAAATAATAGGAAAAAACAAAAATAAAGAGATTTAGCTTTTAGTTCTAATTTCTAAACATAACTGTCGAGATCCAAAAGTATTAAAAAAAACAAAGCCTTCACTGTAAAATGAAATCATAATTTTATTTTAAGGTGCTGACTCTGAATCTTGTGGATTAAATTAAAAATATTAACGCTACGTGTAGACAATATACAAAGCTAAGAGACTCTAACCAATCATCTATTAGAAAACAAAAAAGAAATCAACACGCTAAAGTTATCCAAACCGCAAAAAGCCGAGAAATATAGAAATACCAGAGTATGTTTAACGAGGAAAATATTAACAAACCTGGATCTGAATAAAAACAGCGAGATGACTACAGAAAGCTCTGCTGAGAGAGAAGAGAAACCAATCGACAGGGTCCAATGTCGGCGACATTTCTATTGTATATTTTCCTTCCCTTTCTTTTCTTTTGTTTCCCTCTTCTCTCTCTCTCTCTCTCTCTCTCTCGATCCTCGTCTATCTAACTAACCAAACAGAAAATCAACCACAAGAAAATTTTTAAATATAAATCCCTAGAATTAAGCTCCTTGGAAACTGTTAACTCTTTCTTCGTCTCTCTCTCTCCGCCGTGCGTCGGCGGAACGGGGCAGAAAGGGAAATATAGAGAGAGAAACGGAGAATGACGACGGTGAGTAAGTGAGCGCGTAACTTTTGTAACTATGGATTTGAGCAATCAAAGATGATTGACCCACATTCATACGTACAGCTAGGATGGTCATAGGTCAGGTTTGGGCTGATTCGATCCGAAAATTTTATATTTTTATCAGATTCGATTCAAAAAAATTATATCTCCATCTGATTCGAACCTGACTCATTTTTTTAGATAAAGTTTGAATCTGATTTGACCCTACTTAAAATAAAAAAATATATATTTTTATTCAATAAAAATAATGATTTGATTGAAAAAATAATATATAAAGGAGTATTATTGTAATTATTCATAAATATATAAGTTAAAATTATTTTTTCTCAGGTCATGTATTTTCACTCTAAACCCGAATCTAACCCAACCCGAACATCATCCTTAAAAAAAACCAAGTCGAACGGGTCGGGTTGAATTGAAAGCTGTCGGATTCGAGTCTCATACTCATCCCTACATACATCCATTCTTTTTTAATTAAGAATTAAAAATTAAATAACGAATTTTTTTAACAAAAAAGATAGACATTATTGTATAATAAAATTTTAAAAATGAAGAGGGAGAGGGAGAGACCGTTAGATGGGTTTCGTTATTGACAAATTAAACGAAAACTTAAAAGAAAATAAAACAAAGGGAAAACTAATCCAAATACCATTGAATTTTAGAGTGCATTGATTTTATCATATAAATTTTGTTTTGTTTTCAATTATATCATTAAGTCATTAACTTAAAAATGATGAACGACAGTTCTAATAATATGACGATGTGATCGAAACAACATCGATTTAGTGTCTTTATTGATGCTCAAAATGACTTCATTTTAGAGGATTATATGTCCTTTAATTTGTGTTTTGAAAACTCTAAAACTTTTCAATTTTAAACATTAAATTTTTTGGACATTGTTGATGGTCAATCATCTCTCGTTAGGTAGCCACTCGCAGTAAGATCAGTACCAAAGCATTCACATTTCACTTTCTTTTCTCTTCATATTGATTTTTTATACAACTCACTTAAAATCGATTAAAATTCATCTAAAGATCCGGCGTGGTATTACCATAATTTTCTTTGATGGTTATATGATAATATTAGTTTTTAGATATTTTGTTTGTCTTCTCGAAATAATATTTCTCACTATTCGAATTTTGAACAAACTCCTCAAATTGAAGAAAGCCTCGAAACCTAAAAATGATAAATTTTTATTTAATTTCATGAGTTTTAAAAGGGATTTTAAAAAAATCTAAACCAATAAAACAATATAGGACAATGAGACGAGTTTATCAATTTCTAAAAACACCGTAAAAGATGAGTAGAAAATCTTACGTTTATGAATAAGATGACAGGTGAAATAAAAATTTTTTTTATTTTTTTATTTTTGGCCTTTCCGGTTTATAAAACCATTAAATTAACAACTAATTACAATTTAAGATAATCTTATTAGGTAAATGAAGATTTTCAAAATCATTAAATTAATTGAGATTTAATATAAGAGCATTAAAATCAAATTGAATTAGAATTATTAGTATTAGTTATATAAGGACGATCGAAATTAATTATTATACAATAGAAATAAATTAATAATTAAAAATATATTTTGATTATTATATTATTGCATTTGATATACTATTAATATGATTATCCAACTAAATGAACAGACAAATACCCTAAACACGTATATCACCGAGGTCACAGGGATTTATATAGTATGAACCTTTATGACCTCGGTAGTAAATGAATTGTTATTATTTCTTGAGGTTCCGAATTTGAGCACAAAAAAATATTAAGGGTATAAGCGTTCAGTGTCAAGAGATTAAAAATTATCTTTGAACAGATATTACATTGTACTTATCCAGATTACTCAAAAAAAATATACCCGTATAGCATAATATTTGTTAACAAAATTCAAAAATCATTTTTTAATCATTCAATTTTAATTGTGTTCTTATTTTAGTCATTTGGTTTAAAAAATAATAATTTTTTTATTAAATTTTAAAATTGCTTTTTGTTCACTTTGTGATTAATTATTTAATACCATTATTATACGACATCTTTTTTCTAAGAAAATATTATAAAATCCTCAAAAGAAAATTCTATTTTGTAAAAATACTTCAAAAAATTTATTTTATAAAGTTATAACCTAAATTCTTAGATCCTCTTTGATTTTCTAATGTTGAAGTTGAAGGATGAGACAAATAATATATCATAATGCTAATTGGATGATAAAGATCGTTGATCTGTTACTACCTTCAACATAAAAATAACTCTTCTACCCAGTTATTTAACGTCTCAGTCGTTAAAACATGAATAACTCAAAAATTAAATAATGAAATTAAAAATTCTTTAAGTTAATTAATCAAAATTGAATGATGAAATGTAATTTAGCTTAGACCAAAGGACAATGAAAAAGAGAGGTGACATAAATTTGGATTACCATTAATTGATGCTGCTCGGTTCCAGCTGCTTGCAAGAACATAACATGCCTTTGTCCCCTCTCTCCCATGTGCCCCCGCCGTTCTCTTTCAATGAAAATTAAATAAACTTCATTTACTTATTTTACTTTTAATTCAGTTTTTTTATTTTAAAAAGTAAGAATACATTACATTCACAGATTGCTTAATTATTTAAATAAAATCAATCAACCATTAATTGATAACGTTTAATGAAAAAATGACGCGATAATTTAGAATTTTAATATAACTACATATTTAATCCTTATTATATATATTATTAATTTTATATAAATTAGTGATAATGGGTATAAATTAGCACATCGGGTAGAGAACTAATAGTTTTTCTATTAAAAAACTCTGTGATTTAAAATATTGAATGCATGATGCTTCCATAAATGAATTGAAGAGACGGGAGTAACGAGTTCAAATCTGTTGATTATGAGTCATGAGAAAGCTTGAGGAACAAGAGGGGACAAGCTGAGGTAGCTATTGATAATGAATTTTGGGAATGAGAATATAATATGGGTCGTTTTAGAAGGGACCCGATCCATGCTGGACGATGGTGATTGCCATCCGTAAATAACTAGATGTCATTCATAAGGTAGTATTTGTCCATCCATTCCCAAACATAAAACAATTGTTGAAAACTCAATTCGAACCAGATTCTCATCCTTCACTAAAAACCCAAAGTTCAATCCGCAAGAAGACAACTTACAATTCAGAAAAACACCATCACAGAGTACTTTCCAACGAAAAAACTATAAGCAAGCTAAGCAACAAGCAAGTGAGATGAGTATAATCTTTCGTGAGCCAAAGAAATGTAAAATGAAAAACAATGAAGCCAGAGCAGAAAGGTGAGTAAAGAACATTACCTGCCAGGCGGTAGCCTGTGGATTTCCTCTTCTTTGGGTCAGGTCCTTCCATTTTATCGTTACCGCCTTCAAATTTTTGCAGATATATACGCAGAGTTGGTAGATTTATCGATATGAGGCCCAAACTTATTGGGTATTGGGGAGACCCAAATTCAAACAACATTGTCAGTATTTGTTGGACAAGGATTCAATCAACAAGTACGTTTACACATCCCTAAACCAGACTCCACCGACCCTAATCGTGGTTGTGCCCCTGCGCACCTCGAAGATTGATCCCATTGTCGTGTTTCACTTTCACCCCATTAGTATTGGATTCCCAATCATATCACTTCGATAAAAACGAAGCTAAAGAATCGTCATACTATGTTAATAAAGCATAAACTATGTAAAACTTGTTCATCCGATCATTATCTCCACATCCACAGACTCCGGTCATCTGTTTTCTTCCCCAAAACCAGGACCTGCTGCAAAACAAAAAACACAACCCCACAAGTCAAAAACAAAGACTGATTAAGCTTTTCCATGTTGAGAACAACAGCTGCCACGTTCCTAGCCATAGCCGTTTATTCTTTCTTTGTTCTCCTCTTCTCTCCTCCTCCAAAATCATATTATCACTCACTGTTTATATCAAATTCACTGTCTGATAATGTCTCCATATCTCACCATCTCTACACCCTCACCCGCCGCCCGCATGTTGCCGGCTCCGAAGCCAACGCCGAGGCTGCATCCTATGTTCTTTCCACCCTCTCAGCCTGCAACATCAAGGCACACGTTGTCTCCTATGAAGTTTTACTTTCCTACCCGGATTCACGCTCGTTGACTCTCACACCTTCTCCTTCGGAGCCACCTATAACTTTTGATCTGAAACAGGAAATATACGAGGGTGATCCCTATGCGGCTGTGGCTCGTGAAGTGCTGCCTACTTTCCACGCATACGCCAGGTCCGGTTCGGTGACCGGACAAGTGGTTTATGTGAACTATGGGCGGGTGCAGGACTACGAGACGTTGAAAGAAATGGGAGTGAACGTTACGGGTACTGTTGTTCTGGCTAGATATGGAAAGATTTATAGAGGAGACATTGTGATGAATGCTTTTGATGCCGGTGCTATTGGGGCACTGGTGTATACGGATAGGAAAGATTACGGCGGCGGAGGAGGTGATGCGAAGTGGTTTCCGGATGACAAATGGATGCCGCCGAGTGGGGTTCAGGTGGGAACAGTCTATAACGACTCCGGTGATCCTACTACGCCTGGATGGGCTAGCACCGAAGGGTGCGAGAGGGTGTCAATGGACGAGTTAGAGAGCAGTGGGGATGTTCCTTTGATACCTTCGTTGCCGATATCCGGCGCCGATGGCGAAACGATCTTGAGGTCAATCGGTGGACAAACTGCAAAAGATGATTGGCAGGGAAGCAAAGATTCACCAACTTACAGAGTTGGACCAGGACCGGGAGTTGTCGGTCTCGATTACAAAGTAAGTGTCTAATCTAGCATATGTGAACTTCGATTTCGATGATACCGGAACATTAGGTAAGTGTCAGCCTGCCGAAATGAACCGTAGCATAAATGGTCAGTAATGGTTTGGTATATTTGAATGAGATTTTCAGGGAAAACAAGTATTTGCAACAATTCAAAATGTCATTGGCGTTATTGAAGGAGAGGAAGAGCCCGACAGGTAAGTTCAGAAACATCAATGGACGGGAAAATAGTTTGAAGTTTGAACAATTAAGAGTACATTCTTGTTTTGTAATGATTTCCCCTGTTCATACTGTGACTATTACCAGGTTCGTTATACTGGGCAATCATCGTGATGCATGGACATTTGGAGCTGTTGATCCCAACAGTGGTACAGCAACACTTCTAGAGGTTATTATAATGCTATTACATCCCCCACTTGCACCTTTCAAAGCTAAAAGCAGATTCATTTCAGCTGAATTTCACTCATGTAGGTTGCACAAAGACTCTGGAAGCTACAAAGAAAAGGCTGGAAACCACGACGAACAATCATTTTGTGCAATTGGGATGCTGAGGAGTATGGCTTGGTGCGTCATCCTGCCTATCTCTGGTATGCATCTATCTTAATTCCATTTTTTCTGAACTAAAATTTAAATGGACTAGTACTTCCAGGTAGGATCAACAGAATGGGTAGAAGAAAACAGAGAGTTGCTGTCTTCAAGGGCAGTCGTCTACATAAACGTGGACTCTGCAGTAACAGGAGCAGGATTTCGTGCTTCTGCTACTCCACAGCATGATGATCTGCTCAAACAAGCTGCTCAACAGGTATTTGTAAAGTGCTAAACCAAACCAGCAGCAGGGAAGTAGCAATAGTAGCCAGTCTCCCTTGACTAACTCGTTCTTCTAATTGATTTTGGAAGGTTCAAGACCCAGATAACTCATCACAAACAATCTACGAACAATGGGTTCGGTCCGGTGCCTCTCCTTTGGTGAGCATAATGAAACTAAATGATTCATAAGAACTTGTATGGTTCAATGTCTACATCAAGATATTATTTTCATTATCCCGCCTATAAACTGTGAAGATTGGGCGATTAGGAGGAGCAGGTTCTGATTATGCAGCTTTTCTTCAACATATCGGTGTTCCGGCAGCGAACATGCAGTTTGGAACAGGTAATGGGCAAACATATGATAGCATAGAGTTTTCGTGATTCCGGATAATAAAGAGTAATTTTGTTCTCGCAGGATACCCAGTATATCACTCAATGTATGATGACTACATCTGGATGGAAACTTTTGGTGACCCCATGTTTCGTAGAAGCGTTGGAGGTACGTGTAACAGGCTAACAGCATCTCATAATTAGACATCCTTGACCTTGAACAAACATGGTATATAGTGTAATATTGATTACTTTAGCCTCAGTCAAACTATTCATATGAGAAATTCAGTTCAAAGAACCTTAAACAACTAACTTACGAATGAGTCCTTTTTTTTTGTTTTTGTTTCTACAAAAACAGTGGCAAGTGTTTGGGGTTCAGTAGCTCTTCGGCTGGCAGATGAGGAGTTCTTGCCTTTTAATTATCATTCCTATGCATTTGAAATCCAGGTAAGGTAACCTTTAGGAAATAAATGACAGATTTATTGCTTAGCAAGAAGACGAAATTTCAAAAATTGTCCTTAACATTTGATTAAATAGTTATTTTAGTCTTCTTTTTAGGATTTGGGCACTGAAGTTCTGTTTTAGAATAAAAAGGCTCCTATTAGAGAGTGTTGCCTGTTTGTTGACTAACAATTTCCAACCGAGAGGGGCTTTTTGCTCACGTCTAACCAGAAAAGCTTAATGTAATGCAACAAAATCCATGATAACAGAAGCTTGCAGAAGACCTGGAAAAAGAGGTTTCAGGTAAAGGCATAACCTTTTCTCCGTTGTTCAAGTCTATTGAGGAGCTAGCAAAAGCAGCCACCAAGATAAATAGCCAGAAAAAGGTAACACTAGTTTCCATAACCAAGTCAAAGTATTGAGCAGAAATTAAGGGAAGTATTTTTGTCTAGGAAATAAAAGAAGCTAAAGGTTGGACATCAATGTGGAGAAATGACCATAACAGAGTACGAGAACTAAATGACAGACTAATGATGGCAGAACGGGCATTTACGGACCCTGATGGACTTCTTAGAATGCCATGGTACAAACACTTGGTAGGTTTTTTCTTAATCTTCAGAAACTGTCAGTTCTCTGCTAATAAAGAACTTTATAAACCTTAAGTTTACTTCACAGAACATGTATTCTTTGAACTAACTATAATTCAAAGAAAAGATCTCTAACAAGTTCACGTGATCTATGATAGTAAAACTTAAGAAGGAATGCATCGGCGAATTGTTATATTCAACTAATATCATTTCCTTTTTGTGTATTCAATATTACACTTATTACTAAATGGGTTAAATTAGCTACAAGTGTGATATGCAGATTTATGCACCGTCGAGGCACAATGCATATGGATCTACAACCTTCCCAGGCATAGATGATGCAATTGATAGTGCAAAGAATCTAAACACTGCCGAGTCATGGAATTTGGTGCAACATGAAGTTTGGAGAGTTGCTAGGGCTGTTAGGCATGCGTCCTTAGTCCTCAATGGAGACCTAACATGAATGAGCAAGATGATCTACCCTTGAGACTGTGGTGTACTTTAGTGAGAGTGTAGGGGTATAAGACATCTCTAGATTCTGCAAATTCACTTTCTTGCTTTTCACTAAAATTAATCATCAGTATCGAGCTTTATTTCAGGTATTATTTTGACAACTTCAAAAATATATACAGGCTCGGTCCTAACATTTTAAGGGCCCTAGGCCAAAAGGTGAGGACAATAAGATAAATGGGAGTCCATATTTAGATTTCTCCCATTATTAAAATGAAGCCTATTGAATTATCATATTTTCTAGTTTTTTAAATAAAAAATAATGTTTTAAAATATTTTTTAATTATTGGGTTCACTAAATTATCATATTTTAAAGTATTTAAAATAAAAAAGTATGTTTAAAAATATTTTTTAATTATTAAACTTAAAAATAATTTAAAAAATGAGTTCCTCCAAGTTTGGGGCCTTAGGCTGTCGCCTTTGGCCTATGCCCAGGGCCGGCCCTATATATATATATATATATATATATATATAAACTCATTCTTTCAGGGACAAAAATATTCCCTCACAAGAATCACTCTAAACCAAACATAAAACTATGAAGTAAGAAAATATTATTACCTCGTTTCATTATCAAATATTCTCTAAAATAAAAGGTTTAAATATTTTTTCTAAACTAAATTCAGATTATAAATATTTTAATTAATAGAAAATGTAATTTTATTAATTGATAAAATTAAATCATTTAAAAATAATAAAGATTGTTATTTTTCTTATAGGTCTCAAGTTTAAATGACTATATTTATAAAATGTCGAGTATTATGAATAGACTAAAAATATAGAAATGGGTATTATCTATTAGAATAGTATTATGGAATAATCCAGTAAATACAGAGAGTTAAATTATTAAAAAGAGTTGAGTTTAAACTAATTTATGCATTCACTGGGCTATCAACTATTTAGTTGATACCCTCTATGTATTTAATGGGTTATTCCATAACATTATTCTAATATTATTTTATAATCGGTTTAAACTATTAAAAATAGGGGTGATTAAAATTAATTCGACTCGAAAATTAATTTTTTGATTCGATTTAAAAAGTCAAACTAAAATTGACTTTGAGTTCTAATTTATAAACTTTACTCGACTTGTAAAATTTTTTGATTCAAATCGAGTTATAAAATAGAACTCGAATAACTTAAATATTTGAAATTTTTAGTAATTAGTATATTGATTTTCAAGTTTGATTCGAGTCGATCGACTTTGTCTGGTATATGTATATTACATATGAAAAATATATGAATAAATATATGAATAAATATATGCGTATTGTATATGGTTATAGAAAAATGTTTAAACCAATGAGTGTTAGCACAAGTGATTGAGGTTCAAGAATTTTAGCTTGTAAGGCCAAGCTCGAATCCTACCATCGTCACTCTTGGATAGTAATTTATAAATTCATTTGTAAATCCCAATTGGGTATACCCTGACCTTGTATTGGAGAGTCACCCTTACCTAAACTTTTTTTTTTTAAAAAACATTTAGATTGAAATCAAATAGTGTCATAATATTATAAATATTTACAATCAAATTTAAACAGAAACTTGAACAATTTGATTCGACTTGAATTTTTTAAAACTATACTCAACTTTAAAAAAATTCAACTCAAATCCGAGTTATAAAATAAGATTCGTCAACTTGAATAATTCAAATTTTTATGACTTGATTCGACTCGATCAAACGCTTACACTTAATTAAAAAAAATTAAATTTATTATGAATATCAAGTATACTTGTTTATGTGCAGTTGTGTACGTGTTCAAAATTAATTAAATACACAATAAACATTATAATTAACTGTCTATCATTTAGTAGTAAAATAAAATATTATTCTAAAGATTTAGAGTCCAAACAATTGTATTTATAAAATGTGTGTATTATTATCATATTAAAAAAATTGAATAATTATTATCTTATAACCACTTGAAATTATTAAAATAAAAGTATAGTTTAATAAATTATAGAGTCCACTCCATGTGATTACCTTGATTCCTCATTTAGGAGTTTTGCATAATTAAATGTTGCATTAAACAAGTAGAACACCATTTACAAGTAGCGTTTTATCAGATATATTAAAAAATTCAGTAAAACGTCTAATAATAACAAAACTAATAAAATAATAATGTTTTTATTAATTTTTTATTAATTTTATTAAAAAATAATAATAAAATCAATAACATCTTTTTATCGCACGTTTATTTCCCTATTTACACAAGAATTGTTTGGGTTGGGAAGAAATAGGATGTGAAAATGACAGTTAACGACGTAACTACGAGGAGTTAAAAATGGGTTTGGCGTAGGCCTTGTGCGTGGCGCCAGAGGTGCTCATTACGGAAGCTATAGCAATTACAGGCATTGAAATGAATGGAGCTATGTTTATGGAATATCCACGAGTAGCTGATGCGGAGGACTTATCCCTAATAACCAAAATAAACGAGACCGTCTTAGTTAAATTGCTATTATAAATATCATAAATTTAAAGTCTTCTTTTAGGAATTATAAATTTAAAGGTGAAGTATAGTAAAAGACAAGTAATTTCGATTTGAATACATGTTTGCGTTCCTAGATAATTATTTCACGACGTTTGATTCTGATTTACGATTATCGATAGTTTTTCAGTAGTTTAATTTTATATAATGATTCATTTGTTGATGCAATCAGATTTATTCGTATATATTATTTTATTAGGTTTTGATCTTTTTCTAATATGATCATTTTACGATCTCGAATGATTATTTTATTATGTATTAAACTCCCTAGAGAAACAAGTCCTTCCTTGTTATTTTAAAAAATTATAAAAATTAGTTTAATATATTAAAGGGAGGAAGGAAAAAAATAAATTTACATATCTATTTTTTTTTAAATATATTTTGAAATTTTATACTTATATTTTTAAGTTATGAATTTGTTATTGTGATAATGATTATAAAAATATTATAATTATATATATATATAATTTACAAAATTCATTATATATTAAATATTTTATTTTTTTATAAAAGTAGCTTATTTATTTACATAAAAAATTACACGAAAATCATTTTACGCAAAATTTATTGGGTTAGTTAAATGAGCAAATCGATTATGAGTAAGAGGTGACGTGCTGGCGGCTACCTCCATTTTATTGAATAGTAAATTAGTTAGACCAAATAATTCTCTCTCTTTTCTCTCTTATTTAATTTGGGGTTATAAATATATTTATATAAAAATAGGCAATAACTTTTGTCACATCATGCTTTCGTCGGTCTTTTGGGTCTACAGTTTTATTGCATTTGTAGGTGGAAAATTCGGGGATTTTACATAATTGACACTAATTTTCTTTAATATTTTTTTTCTGACACTGTTTGATCAATATTTCTTGAAGTAGCATCCTTTCTGTTGAGTTGGAAGCCACGTGTGAAAGGCGCATCCCCGGGGACGCGCCTTTGCCAACTCAGCAGACACGTATTTTGTTTAATAATAAATAGTTTATTTTTATTATTATTATAAATTAATAATATATTATGTAAAATGTTTCGATTATAATGTAAGAATTATCAAATGTATTTTGTTAATGTGTGTTAAAGGTGGAGTGAATTATCTACATTAATATGATATAACAATATATGAAAACTAGTTTTGACTTTATTTTAGTTATAGGAAAAATATATGAAATTATAATATTACACATATTTAACGAAAATATTGATGCATAAGTTAATAAATTAGTATAATTACATATTTAATCTTTAAGACTTACATATTTTATAAAATTAGTCTTATTGAAAATTTAATTTAATAAATTTAATCATCCAATCATAACATGAAATGTGTCATCGTATACATAAATTTTTTAATAACTTTTAATTTGTTTAATTTAATATTTTTCTCTACTTAGAAGGTGAAATTATTATTATATTTTAAAAAAAATTATAATTAATAATATTAATTATTATATTAAATAAATATATTAAATATATTTATGTATTTAAAAGTTAAAAAAAATTATTTAGGTGTACATACATTGACAAATTATATAAATGCAATAACATTAAATTATTAGAAACAAAAACATTCATTTAAATACAATATTAATTACATAAGAGTTAACGGTTATATGATGATAACAGAGCTGAACATTTTTTTCTATTGTGCCCGATGTTTCTACAATGCCCACATCGTTTTTGTTCTGTTGACTTCTCCCGAATATACATATCACAATGTATTCTAGTAGATTTTGGACGACCTGAGTCCCTCAATAGCAATGGATCTGGTACAATTGTAAGCCAAGTTTGAATCTCATTTGGGTCTCTTTCGTTTCCTATGGGCGGAAACTCAAATTCATATACCTTGAATAATTAAACAAATTTAAAAACATACCTCAGACCCAGCTTTCGTATCGCTAAAATGTCTGGAGATATGATAAATATCCAATCGCAACAGCATTTCGTTTTCCATTATAACTGTAGACAAAACAATATAATTAGCAAAAAAAAATTAATAATTCTAAATAAATAATAATTATATAAATATTATTTTAATAAAAAAATAATATTTACATAAATATATTAATATAAAAAATAATAACTATTTAAAAAAATACTAACATAAAAATAAATTTATTACTACTAATAACAAATTTAAAACTCAAATAGTTGGAGAATTTGAGTTATATAAGAGAGGAGAATATGATTTTGGTGTGAAGAATGAGAAAGGGTTGAGGGGGTTTATATAGGGGAGGAGGAGGGGTAGTTAGGAAAAACGGATGGGGGCATTTATGATATTTAATGGAAGGTGCGTCCCCGGGGATGCGCTTTCCACACGTGGCGGTCGAGTCAGTGAAGGCGCGTCCCCGGGGATGCGCCTTCCACACGTGACATCCAATTCAGCGAAAACACGGGTAAAGCGCGTCCCCGGGGACGCACCTTTGCCAACTCAACAGAAAGGGTGCTACTTCGGGAAATATTGGTCAAACGGTGTCAGAAAGAAAAAATTAAAGAAAATTGGTGTCAGTTATGTCAAATAGCCGAAAAATTCGATATAATTATTATCTATAAAATAAAATTTTAAAAAAAATACTCAAATTAATGATTTATCTCAAAAATATTA